TTTGAGCTGCTGGAAGAGCAGTTGGCCATCGTGGTTTAGACTCTGATGGCTCTGCTAATTCTGGATTTTTTTCTTCTAATTTTAACGTTTCAGGATATACTACCTCCTGTAATTGATTATTGTCAACATTTTGCGTTGACCGAGCCATAGCCGGCTCTGATACACATTCACAGTGTGAACTTTCCTTTCCTTTCCGGGATTCTATCCCTGCCTCTTTTCACAATCTACTGCACAGCTTTTAGGGACATCAGAAATTGGAACGCTATCTTCTTCTGTTTGAAATGGTTCTAAAGCTACTTTAATAATGACCCAATCATTCCATACTGTGAGCGGAATGATTTTACCTTCCCTACTTGCTTGTTTTAATTCTTTGCCAATTTTTTCCCAGTCTTTTAGATCTAAAGTTCCCTGTTCTGGAAACCATGGACAAAACTGCTCTATTGTTTGAAATAGTGTAATTAGATTTTGGTAGAGACTTTAACTCCCCCTCTTTTTAAGAGAATTTTAATAAAGCTGCGATAAGAGGCATATTTACTCTTAGTTTGCCCCATTGTTACCCTAGGTTCTTCCGAGTGCACAAGCTTACCGCAAGGCTGACTGTAGACGTACTCGGGAGTCTCTCGTCGACTTGTCCTCAATGACCACGCTCCAGCGTACCTTCACCTTAGAGAAAAGCCTCCACGTTGGGCACCAGATGAAGGGGTGGCCTGCCCCCTCCACACCTGTGGGTGTTTCTCGTAAGGTGGAAGGAGAGACTTGAGAAAAGAAATAAGACACAGAGACAAAGTATAGAGAAAGAAAGCGGGGGCCCAGGGGACCGGCGCTCAGCTTACAGAGGACCCACGCCGGCACCGGCCTCTGAGTTCCCTTAGTATTTATAGATAATTATCTTTACCATCTTAAAGATAAGGGAGTGGCAGGACAATAGGATCATTTTTAGGGAGGAAATTAGCAGTAAGACATAAGAACAAGGATCTGTGACATGAGTAAGTTTAAAGGAAAATCCTGTGCCTTGAGATAAACCTTTTAGCAACATTGTTTCATCCTATCACATGGGGATAAACCTTGGACAATACTAGCTTTCTAGGAACAAAGTCACACCCTGCACGCCCAAAATCCATTAAACCACAGCACATGTCTCTTGCAAGGACAAGGTTGGGGGTAGGGTCACAGATTAACAGCATCTCAAATACAGAACAAAATGGAGTCTCTTATGTCTACTTCTTTCTATATAGACACAGTAACAGGCTGATCTCTCTTTCTTTTCCCCACACCCTAAATCTGGAGGTCCTCAGAAAAGAAAATTCACCCCTCTTTGACACCTATTGTTCCATGATCCTGTGATCCTCTGGACTTGGGGGTGGGGCACTTGGAATCAGTTTGCATCTTGCATAAAAACCACTTTGGTAAAGGAAACAGGCTAATTTCTGTGGGTCACACAGCTTATAACAACAGAGAAAAAGTGAATTCTCCAGGCAGCATTCACTCTAGATTATACTCTGATCTGGAGAACAAGGTTTTGGGGCCAGTTTATCGTCTCAGCCAAGGCGGTTTTGGGACCAGTTTATCATCTCAGCCAAAGCCCCAGCTGTTTGTAGGCAGGAATGTCTTCATATGCTTTATGACTTCTCCATTAACGTTGCCAGTTTGCTACAGTAAGTGGTGCTAGTTCCTTAGAGAAAAGGGTCTCTATGTTGGCTTTGATGGCATGGGGCAAGGTAGAGTGGGGAGGTGTAACCCCCCATCCCCCTCCAACTTTAGAGCCTGTTCTGGGTAGACAACGCCAAGAGATGATTTTAAAAGAATTCCTTTTCTGGCTGGGAGCAGTGGCTCACGCCTGCAATCCCAGCACTTTGGGAAGCTGAGGTGGGCAGATCACTTGAGGCCAGGAGTTCGAGACCAGTCTGGCCAACATGGTGAAACCCCATCTCTACTAAAACTAAAAAAAGAAAAAAAAAAAATTAGCCGGGTATAGTGGTGTGTGCTTGTAGTCCCTGAGGCAGAAGAATTGTTTGTTTGAACCCAGGAGGTGGAGGCTGCAGTGAGCCGAGATTGTTCCACTGCACTCCAGCCTGGGAGACAGGGTGACACTCCACCTTAATTTTAAAAAAAAGAAAAAAAATTCCTTTTCTATTTAAGTTGCTCAGGTAGTCTCCTAAGTTTTTTTTTTTTTTTTTTTTTTTTTTTTTTTTTTTTTTTTGGAGACAGACGGAGTCTCGCTCCGTTGCCCGGGCTGGAGGGCAGCGTCACAATCTCACAATGCTGCAACCTCTGCCTCCCAGGTTCAACCGATTCTCTTGCCTCAGCCTCCCTGTAGCTGGGATTACAGGTGCCTGCCACCACATCCAACTGATTTTTGTATTTTTAGTAGAGACAGAGTTTCAGCATGTTGGCCAGGCTGGTCTCGAACTCCTGATCTTGTGATCTGCCTGCTTCGGCCTCCCAAAGTGCTGGGAGGCACCACGCCCAGCCTCTACTAAGATTTAAGGGGCAGCCTGGAGGGGGCCAGTTTGTCAACAGTGTGACATGGAAAATGAAGCCAGGCTGGTGTGGTGGCTCACGCCTGTAATCCCAGCACTTTGGGAGGTCCAAGCAGAAGGATCCCTTGAGGCCAGGGGTTCAAAACCAACCTGGGCAACATTGTGAGAGCCTGTCTGTAAAAAAATAAAGATTAGCTAGGCGTGGAGGACTGTGCCTATGGGGACACACTGTGGGCTGCACGGAAAAGGCAGCATGGGTGGGCTTTCTATAAGCCGATGTAGTAGTGGGGTGGGACAGGGTACTGGAATTGAGGAGAGTGTTATGGTTGAAACACATAAAAAAGGAAAGGGAACTTGGAGTTTCTGATGCCAAGCTAAGGAATTTAGACTTTGCTGTGAGCCATAGAATGCTCAGGGGAGTCAAGTGATCTGGCGTTGTTTGGAAGACCACCCAAGCCACAGTAGGATGGGAAGGGAGTGCAGCAACAGAGAAGAGGCTGTTGAGATGGAATTGTTGAGCGAAGAAAGGCTGACTCAGGGAGGGTCAGGACAGCAGCCCCTGGGGAGACCAGGTAAACATGAGTTGGTGTAAAGGGTTAGATCACGAGGGGAGGGAAAGAGACAGAGAGAAAAGGTCTGGTGAGCATAGGAGAGTACCAGGTACTTAATCAATGCAGGGAGGAGCAGGGTCATGGTGGAGGAGAGATGCAGAGATGAACTAGCTCTGTTAGGCCTCAAGGTGGAGAGAGCCAATAAATGATTGGAAGTATGGATCTGGCACTAGGGAGCAAGAGCTGGTCCAGTTGTCTCCTAAGCCTGTACAATGCTAGGATTTGAGATAAAATCTGGACGGGGTGAACAAGGGTCTATTCCTTTCGGAGCCAGGTTTAAAAATTCCCCGCCTGAGGTGAGGAGTTCGAGACCAGCCTGATCAACATGGTAAAACTCTGTCTCTACTAAATACAAAAAATTTAGTGGCGGACATCTGTAATCCCAGGTACTTGGGAGGCTGAGGCAGGAGGCACGCTTGAAACTGGGAGGCAGAGGTTGCAGTGAGCCGAGATTGAGCCATTGCACTCCAGCCTGGGCCACAAGAGCAAACTCCGTCTCAAAAAAAAAAAAAAAAAAAGAAAAGAAAAGAAAAGAAAACGAAAATCCCTTTCTGTAACTCAGTGTGTGAGTCTGATGGACAGTGGAGCACAGGTGGAGTCAGGCGTACTTGAAGGCTGCCTCAGGTCTTGGGCAGTGGCTCCCGACTGTAATCCTAGCGCTTTGGAAGGCTGAGGTGGGAGAATCGCTTGATATCAGAAGTTGGAAACCAGCATGGGTAACATAGCAAAACCCGTTTCTACAAAAAAATTCTAAAAAATTAGTCAGCTGAAGTGGCTCACGCCTGTAATCCCAACACTTTGGGAGGCCACGGAGGGAGGGCTGCTTGAGTACAGGAATTTTAGACCTGCCCGGGAAACTGTTAAGACCTCCGTCCCTATGAAACAAAACCCCAAACCAAAAACAAACAAACAAAAACCCTAAAATTAAGTGGGCGTGGTGGCGCGCGTCTGTAGTCCCAGCTGCTAGGGAGGGTAAAACAGGAGCATCGCCTGAGCCCGGGAGGTGGCGGCTGCAATGAGCTAGGTCCTGAAATTGCACTCCAGCCTGGGCGACAGACGCTGTTTCTTTTCTTTTTTGAGACAGAGTCTCGCTCTAGTCGCCCAGGCTGGAGGGCTGTAGTGCAGAGGTGCGATCTCGGCTCACTGCAACCTCCACTTCCCGGGTTCAAGCAATTCTCCTGCCTCAGTTTCCCGAGTAGCTGGGACTACAGGCGCGCACCACCGCGCCCGGCTAATTTTTTGTATTTTTAGTAGAGACAGGGTTTCACCATGCTGGCCAGGCTGGTCTCGAACTCCTGACCTCGTGATCCGCCCGCCTTGGCCTCCCAGAGAGCTGGGATTACGGCGTGAGCCACCGCGCCCGGCCCAGACCCTGTTTCTAAGAAACAAAAAATAAAGGAAAGGCTGGGTCCGCTAGGCCAAGGGCGGCGCAAGGTAGTTGCAGACGACGAAGCCCACGAAGCGCAGGATTTCTCGGAGCCGAGTCTGTCTTCGGGGGACAGGGATCCCAGACTCCTGCGCCCCCAGGTGTCCCGCTTCTGGAAACGCGTCTGAGGTCAAGCGCAGGACTAGGCGCAGGCCGGGGGCCCTCAACCGGTCGCGCACCGCCTGGCTCTGCCCAGAGTAACAGAGGGCGGAAGAAGCCCTTTTTCCAGCGCGCAGACGCGCGGCCAGCCCAGCCAATCAGCGCGCTCCCTCTGCCGGCCCGACTGGCGCTCTGGTGACGCGCTACGCCGGGCTTCGCCCACGGCTCTTGGGCGACGGCCCCTCCCACACTCGCCGCGCCTGTTAGCTGCGCGCCGCGCTTCTTGTGCGACGGCCTCTGGGCGGCGGCGCGTTCCGGCGCGGCCCTGGCGCGCCCCCTGGCGGCCCGGAGGGGCGCGGCGGGCGCGGCGCTGACCCGGAGGCGGCGGCGGCGGTGCCCGGATGGAGGCACGTCATTGTCCCCCGCCGGGCGGCTGGGCTGTGTGCGGCGGCGGCGGCGGCGGCGGCGGCCGAGGGGGATGGAGCGAGCGCCGAGCCGGGTCAGGTAAGCTCCCGCCTCCTTCCCGCCCGCCGCAGGCCGGCATGGGGCCCGCGCAGCGCCCCGCTCGCCTGGGCAGCCGCTGGCCCGGCCGCCCCTCAGCCGGCGCGGCCCGCCGGGGGCTGGCGCGGCCCCTCGCCCGCCTCCCCCTCCACAGCCGCGGGCCGCCCGGGACCCCGCCGCGCTGGGGGCTGCGGCGCCACCGCCCGCCCGGGCCAGGCCGCTGGGGAGGGGGCGGCGGCCGCGGCTGGCGGGCGCCGGGGTAGCCGGGCTGCGCGGGGAGGCCAGGCCCCCTGGTTGCCATGGACACTGCGCTCCCACCCCCACCCGGCCCCAGCCCGCCCCCTCGGCCCGGGGGCCGGGCAGGCAGGCGGGAGGTTCGGGGCGGCCGGGGTGGGCGTGTGCTGGCCGCTGACCGCGGAGCCCGGCGTCCCTGGCCCGCCCGCCGCCCCCCGCGTGGCTGCCACCTCCCGCTCCGGAGCCCCCTCAGAGCCCCGGGCCGGCCTCCCTGCCCCCACTGCATCCCTAATAGAGACAAACTTTTCCCACCTTGGGCGCCCCCTCCCCAGGTCTGGCCACCTGGTTGCTCCGCGGAGAGTCCGAGGTGCCCACGCCGGGCAGAGCGGTCACTCCGAAGGGAGAGGAGAAGCCGGGCGGCGCGTCCCCAAAAGCATGTGTGCCTGCCTAGCGTTTTTTATCTTCGAGGCAGGAAGAGCCAACTTACCTGGGACAGGGGATCCGTTGCAGATGTTGGAAATGAAAATTGGACGGGGCAGGTTTTCCCATCTAGGACTTTAACCCCTCTAATATGCATGCAGTGGAGATGACTTTTGTTGAATGGCTCTTAGGAGGCCGTGGGGTCACTTGTTTATGGGAAAACATGTTGGTTATGTAAAATCAATACCCTTACAGCAAAACTGTTTGAGAAACTAGTTAACGCCTGCTTTTCAAGGTAACCACAGAATCCTAGGTTCTCATTTTGGTGGCCTCTGGAAACGTTTTGAAGAGTTGTAAATTTTAAACCTAATTCTTTTTACTATGTTACTCATTCAAATTGCCTAGGGGATATGAATGATCGGTTTCACTTATTTGCTTTAAATTAGGGTCAGTTTCACTTTCTTTTCTGTATCTTTGAATCAAGTCTACAGTAAGTATTTGGTTTGTAAAGTTTAAGGCCAGTCGTTTTGTTTACTTAAGTATAATTAAGATCAAGGTTTTGTCTTTTTAAAGCGTGTGTGTTTTCTCTTATAATGGAAATGCTACAAGAACGTGGATTACATTGTTTACGAAGAAGCAGAGTGTAACAGTTTCTTTTTAAGTGTGTTGATATTCTTACCTCATAATGTATGTAGAGTGCCACAGTGTCTAAATAGTGTAACTCTTTTTACAAATGAAAAAAGAATAATGCATTCTAGCGTTTGATAACAAGGGAGACATACCATGTAAGAGACTGGGAATTTTAAGGCTTTGAGTAAAAGACTAGTATTTAAAGCAAAGGAAACACTTGTGAAGTCTCATTCCTCCACACAGATCCAACCTCGATTCATGTTCGTGTTGTTTTTTTGAGACAAGATCTCCCTCTGCTGCCTAGGCTGGAGCGCAGTGGCACAATTGTAGCTCACTGCAGCCTCAACCTCCTGAGCTCCAGCAGTCCTCCCAGCTCAGCCTCCCAAGTAGGTAGGACTACAGGCACACGCCACCACACCCAGCTTATTTTATTTTATTTTATTTTATTTTATTTTATTTTATTTTTCTTAAAGAGACAGGGTCACACTGTTGCCCAGGCTAGTGTGGAACTCCTGGGCTCAAGCCATCCTCCTGACTTGGCCTCCCAAAGTGTTAGGATTACAGGCTTGGGCCACCATGCCTCACCTGTAGGTTGTTGTTGTTGTTGTTTTTAATGCTCTTGTAACTTTTGTATATCATCACAAGATGTTGCTTAAAAGTCTTGATATTTTTAACAGTAATATTTAGAAGCTTTACTGAAAGTGCAGAACACATAAGCATATGAATCTTGAGTCCTACATAACATTGTTTAGCTTCAAGAAAGGTTATGTGTGTAGCAGATGGAGTTTAGTTTGATGGTGGTTTTAGGTCAAGACTTCATTGGCCGAAGATACAGATGAAGACGAATGGGTAGTTTTGGTTTGTTTTTCCACAGTTACAATGCTGTATGGTTAACGATGCCTTGAATTGTGCTTTCCTTAAATTTTTTTCACTTAAGAGGCTTTTGTCCCTTCTAAAAGGTAATTGGAGCAAGTAAAATGGTTTTATTTCGTCATTTATTAGTGATTGTTCTGAAGGTATGTTTATCCCCCTGTAAATCAAGGTTTTTGCTGCTGTTTAGTGTTACTGTAAATAAGGCTGGATTAACCTTTTCTTATATTTGTTATAACTCTATTTGGGCTTTCTTCTTCTTCTTTTTTTTTTTTTTTTTTGAGATGGAGTTTTGCTCTTGTTGCCCAGGCTGGAGTGCAGTTGCATGATCTCGGCTCAGTGCAAGCTCTGCCTCCTGGGTTCAAGCGATTCTCCCACCTCAGCCTCCCGAGTAGCTGGGATTACAGGTGTCTGCCACCACCCCTGGTTAATTTTGTATTTTTAGTAGAGATGGGGTTTCTCCACGTTGGTCAGGCTGGTCTTGAATTCCCGACCTCAGGTGATCTGCCCGCCTTGGCCTCCCAAAGTGCTGGGATTACAGGCATGAGCCACCATGCCTGGCCTCTTCTTTCTTTTCTTCCTGCATTTTTTTCTTCTGTCCCCACACTGTTTCATAATTTCTTTTAACTGTTAGATGAGGAAAAATGTAAACTGTATTTGGAGGATAAGGCTCAAGCTTTCTTCCTGATTGAGGGTCAGCTACCTTTTATTGATTTAAAATTTCAATTCAGTTTTTTTTCTTAGTTCGTTGAAATTGACAAGCATCTATTATATTTCTACTTGAGTTCAAAAACTTTAAGATTGGTTTTTTTTTTGGTGATAATCTTACCCTAGTGATAATCTTACCCTAATTAAAAATTGCACCAGCCTGGCCAACGTAGTGAAACCCAGCTCCACTAAAAATACAAAAATTAGCCGGGTGTGGTGGCACGCACCTGTAGTCCCAGCTACTTGGGAGGCTGAGGCAGGAGAATTGCTTGAACCCAGGAGGTGGAGAAGGTTGCAGTGAGCCGTGACGGCACCATTGCATTCCAGCCTGGGTGACAGAGCTAGACTTTGTCTCAAAACAAAACAGAACAAACAAATTACAAACAACAAAATTGATGCTTTTAAAAAACAAATTTGGCCAGGCTCTGTGGCTCATGCCGGTAATTCTAGCATTTTGGGAGGCAGAGGCAGGAGGATCATTTGAGGCTAGGAGTTCATGACCCGCCTGGGCAACAAAGTGAGACCCTGTCTCTACAAAAAGGAAAAACCCCAGAAAGTTATTGTGAGCAGCCAGTGTGGAAAGTACATGGGTATTTTATTATCCCTACTTCATTGCATGGGTAATACTTTTTTGTACTTTTACAATATCCCCCCCTTTTTTTTTTCTTAAAGACAGTCTCGCTCTGTCGCCAGGCTGGAGTGCAGTGGCGCGATCTCAGCTCACTGCAACCTCCGCCTCCCAGGTTCAAGCGATTCTCCTGCTTTAGCCTCCCAAGTAGCTGGGACTACAGACACGCGCCATCGTGCCCAGCTAATTTTTGTATTTTTAGTAGATACAGGGTTTCAGCATGTTGGTCAGGATGGTCTCAATCTCCTGACGTCGTGATCCACCTGCCTTGTCCTCCCAAAGTGCTGGTATTACAGGCATGAGCCACTGTGCCCAGCCTCAATATTTTTTAAAAACAAATTTTAAAGGCCATTTCTACTCCAGAGTTTTCTAAGGATCAAATGAGATACTGTATGTAAATCACTCAGCACAAGCTGGTGCTAAAAGCAAACGCTAGTAGTTTTCTGTTTCCAGACTTTGTTCATTAAGTTGTTCTTCACATGTATGGAAAGCTTTCCATATACCAGGTCAGAGGACGTGAATAAGAACATGGTAGAGAGCAGCAAGTAAAACAGCTGTGGAGTAGATGCCAGCACGCTGCCATAGAAATCAGCACAGGGTGCTGTGGGGGCCTTGAGGAGGGGTTTCTAACCCAGTCTTGGGGGAATGGTAGTGTCAAGGAAAGTGTACCAGAGGAAGTAAATTGTAAACTGAGAAGTGGAAGTGTGAACTGGCTGGAGGTGGAAGGATGGAAAAGAGTCGGAGAAAAGAACAGCATGCGCAGAGCCCAGAGAGAGCAGTGACAAAAAACAAACAAACAAACAAACAAACAAAGACTTCAGCATGGTAGGAATGTGACAGAGGGGTGTTTGGAGAGGTTATTAGGTCAGACAGTGCTAAGTCCAGGCATTAAAATGTGCTATGGGCAGTTGGGCCACTCCTGAAAGATGTTCTTTCTTCCTTTCCTTTTCTTTCTCTCTTTTTTTGAGGCAGAGTCTCGCTCTGTCGCCCAGTCTGGAGTGCAGTGGCGTGATCTCATCTCACTTGAACTCCCAGGTTCAAGCAATTTTCCCTGCCTCAGCCTCCCAAGTAGCTGGCGCACGCCTGGTTAGTGTTTATATTTTTAGTAGAGACAGGGTTTCCCCATGTTGGGTGGGCTGGTCTCAAACTCCTGGACTCAAGTGATCCACCCAGCTTGGCCTCACAAAATGCTGGGATTACAGGGGTGTGAGCCACTGCACCCGGCCTTTTTTTTTTTTTTTGAGACTCAGTCTTGCTTTGTCACCAAGGCTGGATGTCAGTGGTGCATTCTTGGCTCACTGCAACTTCTGCCTCCTGGGTTCGAGTGATTTTCCTGACTCAGCCTCCCGAGTAGTTGAGATTACAGGCACATGCCACCATGCCCAGTTAATTTTTGTATTTTTGGTAGAGATGAGGTTTCACCATGTTGGCCAGACTGGTCTCAAACGCTTGACCTCAGGTGATTCACCTGCCTCGGCCTCCCAAAATGCTGGGATTACAGGTGTGCACCACCATGCCCGGCTAATTTTTGTTTTTCGTAGAGACAAGGTTTCACCATGTTGGCCAGGCTGGTCTCAAACTCCTGACCTCGAGCGATCTGCCCTTGGCCTCCCAAGGTGCTGGAATTATAGGCGCGAGCCACCGCACCCGGCCTCCTGAAAGGTTTTCTACACAGGAGTGACATTTAGATGTGGCTGTTGTTGGGCAGTTTCAGAAATATCCCTAACAGCATTCTTTTGACAAGGTGGCATAACCAGAAGGAAGCCTGGCTGGGAATGCTGGACCTGGCTCTCAGTCCCAGTTGCTGACTGGTTGCTGACTCGTTGGGGTCACAGTTGCTTCATTTTATAGGCCCTGGGGATTCCGTCTGATCTCTCATAGGTTCCTTATGAAAATCAAGTTAATGTATGTCCAGCAGTTGATGCAATGCCCAACACATAGAAAATGCTCAATTACTGTTAGCCCTAATATTTTAAAATAGGACTCAGAGAGAAAATTATAATCAAGCCCTTTCGTAACAGATATTTGTGTTCGAGTTTGATGTCAGTAATGGCTTACGGGTTTTGTTTAAAAAGTCATACATTCCGTATAAACGAGCCTCTTAGGAAAAATGGTTTGTTTTAAAGGTGAGATCTCTATAATTGTAATTTTTAAAAATATTAGGTATTTCACTTGATGCCATTTGCACTTTAAGCACAAAATTAAGTCTAGATTTTCTGTGTGTAGTTGACGCTTTTCTCTGAGGTATTATACTCAAATTGAAGATTTAGTCAAATATATTCTGTGTATAATTTTTCTAGTTTTAAGCAGTAGAGAAGGAAAATATAGGTACTTATTAAATAAATAGAATTGAAAATGGAAATGCCCAATTATAAACTGAAATGCCAGACTTTTAGGGGGCATGAAATGAAATGAGAAGTTCTTCTAATCAAATACTTCACTGAAGATTTTAAAATAAAGATTGTTGACTTTCAGATTATCATGATGCTAAGTGTCCCAAGGAGATTATTACAAACATGTTAGAAAGTGCTATTGTTTTTATATTTGGGTGATATGTTTGAAAATAACTTTAAAATGACTGGGAACGATTTTCCAAGATCTAGTGGTAGGGTAAGGAGATTGCTTTTCTCACCTGATGAAGCAAATATATACTTTTATTCTTTTGCAGAGTTGAACAATGACCATAGTTGACAAAGCTTCTGAATCTTCAGACCCATCAGCCTATCAGAATCAGCCTGGCAGCTCTGAGGCAGTCTCACCTGGAGACATGGATGCAGGTTCTGCCAGCTGGGGTGCTGTGTCTTCATTAAATGATGTGTCAAATCACACACTTTCTTTAGGACCAGTACCTGGTGCTGTAGTTTATTCAAGTTCATCTGTACCTGATAAATCAAAACCATCACCACAAAAGGATCAAGGTACTGTTTTTCAAAAGAGAGAATTACCGCCAGAAACTCCTGTGTAAATGCTGTTGGTGACTTGGTGGTTTCAGAGAGGGGCTTATTTTGCAAGGCATGAGGCCACCTGAGTAGCCAGCAGAGTTGCATTACTCGATGGGCTTTGTTTTCCTGTTACTTGTCCGTGTTTGACAACAAAGTAGCTTGTTTTTGTTACTAGAATATTATTAGTTTGTTTTATTCCAATTTTTTTAAGGATAAACTTTGTTTTGGTGATAATTGAGATGGGCAAGCATTACATTAACTTGTTAACCAGTAGTTATTCTAGTTCCCTAAGTAGATGATTTTTACAAATTTTGAAGATGTTTTGTAAAATGGTTGTCTTTTGACAAATGAACTTTGCCCAGTTTTTTTGTTTTTGTTTTTTTCCTGGCAGTTAAAAATCATTCGTGGTAATAAAGCTCTTCGAAAGAGAGCAGATAGGCCAGGCACGGTGGCTCACACCTGTAATCCCAGCACTTTGGGAGGCCGAGGCAGGTGGATCGCCTGAGGTCAGGAGTTTGAGACCAGCCTGGCCAATATGGTGAGACCCTGTCTCCACTAAAAATACAAAAATTAGCCAGGCATGGTGGTGTGTGCCTGTAATCCCGGCTACTTGGGAGGCTGAGGCAGGAGAATCGCATAAACCCGGGAGGCAGTGGTCGCAGTGAGCCCGAGATCGCACCATTGCACTTCAGCCTGGGCAACAGAGCGAGACTCTGTCTCAAAAAGAAGAAAGATAAAAGAAAAAAAAGAGAGTATATAACACAAATGTTACATTTGTTATGATGATACAAATGTGGTTACATTTGTTAAAACTCATCAAGATAAATGAGACATTAACACTTTAAGTTGGTACTTCAAGACTTTTGGATTTGAGGACATGAAGATTTGAAATACAGTAGAATTTCCTAGTTAGATTGTTGTTTGGCTTAGAGCATGTAGCCCAGGACAGCTTTGAATGCAGTCCAACACAGATGGGTAAACTTTCTTAAAAACAGTGAGTTTTTTTGCGTTTTTTTTTTTTTTAAGGCTCATCAGCTATTGTTAGTGTTAGTGTATTTTATGTGTGGCCCAAGAAAATTCTTCTTCCAATGTGGCACGGGGAAGCCAAAAGATTGGACACCCTGTGGCTTCGAGTAGTTTGATCGCCATGTTGTTTTGAGTCCTTTTAGCAAATTTTTTTTTTTTCTTTTTTTTGAGACAGAGTCTGGCTCTGTCACCCATTCTGGAATGCAGTGATGCAATGGTGCAGTCTCGGCTCACTGCAGTCTGCCTGCCGGGGTCAAGCAGTTCTCCTACCTCAGCCTCCTGAATAGCTGGGACTACAGGTGTGTGCCACCACGCCCGGCTAATTTTTTGTGTTTTTAATAGAGATGGGGTTTCACCATGCTGGCCAGGCTGGTTTCAAACTTATGATCCACCCGCCACGGCCTCCCAAAGTGCTGGGATTACAGGTGTGAGCCGCTGCGCCCAGACAACAGTAAGTTTCATATTGTGATGTGGGCGTGGGTGTTGCAGTTTGGCTTGCTGAAAGTGTTCTGGGTAGGGGGAAGTTTATATTATGAAACACAACCTAATCGAATGTTGCACATAGAGGTGGAAAGTCCTTCGGCTTCTCTCCAGCAGCACTTTCCCACAGGACCTCTTTCTCCACGGCCTTCAACCTCCTGTCATGTTGCTTGGACTCCTCTCTCTTCTTAGGACTTAACTCACATCTCCCCACTCTGCCCTTTTTTGGGGCTCCCATCTCATTCTCTACAGAATCCTTTTTCTTGTCCTAATTTTGCTCTCCTTTCCCCACCAAGCTGCAGCCTGCCTACGCCTGCCTAAATAACCACTAATATCTCTCTTCAAATGGAGAATGATTCTACATGGCATCTCAGCCTTTTTTTTTTTTTTTGAGACGGAGTCTCGCTCTGTCGCCCAGGCTGGAGTGTGGTGGCGCCATCTTGGCTCACTGCAACCTCTGCCTCCTGGGTTCACATCATTCTCCTGCCTCAGCCTCCCAAGTAGCTGGGACTACAGGCATCCGCCACCACACCTGGCTTATTTTTTGTATTTTTAGTAGAGACGGGGTTTCACCGTGTTAGCCAGGATGGTCTCCATCTCCTGACCTCGTGATCCGCCCGCCTTGGCCTCCCAAAGTGGTGGGATTACAGGCGTGAGCCACCGCGCCCAGCCCAGTCTCAGCCTTTTGTTAGAACACTGGGGGACTGCCAACGCCTTTGAAAAATTAGTCTTACCATTGATGATTTTCAACTTTCCTAAATAAGTTGTTTCTTGAGCTTCAGCTGAGTTCCATTGTCATACTTAGTTATTAGTAATCTGTTGATAATCTTCAAAATGGATAAAACCTTTTCAGGTCACAGGTAGTCTATTCACAAGTGTGTACAGCGGTTCCTGACAGCCTAAATTCAAAGCCCGCTTCCTTAATGGTAAAATAGGGATGATATCGGTACCAACCATTAGAATTGCAACCATTTGGCTTAGTAAGGGCTCCCTACATGAGATGACAAGGAGGACAGTTATGGTGGCACTGAATTTGCATCCATGGCAAATGTTACAAGGAGTCAAATTTATCTCATTCTTTCTATTGATTGTGTTATTTTTTAAATGTTCAAAGTGGATATAAAAGAGTAATCATAATGAACTTTCATGTGGCCATCAACCAACTTTGACATTTATCAACTTATGGCCAGTTATACTAGCACCTACTTACCTCCCCACGACATGATCTTAAATCCAGTACTTCATCTTTCACTTGTATTTTAGTGTATACATCTAAAGAGTTTTTTCTAAAAGTCAAAAATGTCTTCATATGAAAATGCCATTCAGTATTCATATTTTTTTGGTTGTTTTATGTATATATAAATATATACATACATAAAATATTCATAAAATGTGTATATGTGTATTTTTTAAGCAGTTGTTCAGAGCAACATCCAAATGAAGTCTACACTTTGCATTTGGTAGATATATGTCTCAAGTTTCTTTTAATCTGTAACCCTCTCCCCTTTCTGTCCTTGCAGTTTGTTTATTGGAAAAACCAGATCATTGAAAATTTCTCATGCTCTGGCTTCTGTCATTTAAAATGTCCCTCTTCCCCCTGTATTTCAGGCAGGCTGGTCATGAGATTACGGATCTTGAACAGATTGAGGTTTGACCAAGTGTTACTATTTATTTAGCTTCAGTATGCAAAGCTTTGTTTCTGACTCTTTCTTGTTTATTTTTCTAGCCCTAGGTGATGGCATCGCTCCTCCACAGAAAGTTCTTTTCCCATCAGAGAAGATTTGTCTTAAGTGGCAGCAAACTCATAGAGTTGGAGCTGGGCTCCAGAATTTGGGCAATACCTGTTTTGCCAATGCAGCACTGCAGTGTTTAACTTACACACCACCTCTCGCCAATTACATGCTCTCACATGAACACTCCAAAACATGTAAGTGTTCTGCGTTGTGTTTGTAGTGTTGTAGTATGCTAACCTACTTTCATTTTTTCCTCTGAAATGAAAGTGAAGAGTGCTATGATTACTAAGAAGTTGGTTTATTCTTTTAGAAACCAAGGAGGAGAATTCATTATTGGTATTCAGGTTGCTTAAAAAACATTTTGCACCTAATTGGACCTGTGAAGGTATTTAAAAAGGAACATTTTATCAGCATTTGGCATTTCTGAACTCCTTGTTGGTTTTCTACACTTACTAAAAAAAAGTGACAGAAATATCTGACATTAGCTGGGCTCACACCTGTAATCCCAGCACTTTGAGAGACCGAGGAGAGAGGATCACTCGAGCCCAAGAGTTGGAGACCAACCTGGACAACGTAGTGAGACCCCCTCTCTACTAAAAATAAAAATAAAAAAAAAATTAGACTAGTGTGGCAGCACACACCTGTGGTCCCAGCTACTCAGGAGGCTGAGGCAGGAAGGTCACCTGAGTCCGGAAGGTTGAGACTGCAGTGAGCTGTGATTGCATTGATGTACTTCAGCCTGGGCAACAGAAAGAAACCCTGTCTCAACAACAGCAACAACAAAAGTCTGATGCCAGCAACTTGGGACAAGCAGAGTTAAGAAATCCTGCCTCTCCTGGCATTTATACCATGTTGGAAGGCTTGATTCATTTACAGGCTTGTAAGCCTTAGAGGAGAGGGACTCTCTCGGCACTGCCCCCAACCTCCTAGAATTCAGACTAGACTTTCCCTTTAGCATTTGAGAACCTCATCTTCAACATACATGGCAGGAAATCAGTTAAAACTTATTAAAATGTCTTTAATTAGATGGAAGCCAACTCAGTGGTTGACTATCAACCTTCAGGATTTGGAACATCCATTTTTGAGGTTTTGGCCTTCTCCATATGTTGTAAATATCCTTCATTCTTTATAAATGCAGTCTCCCTCTTTGATCTAAATTAATGGCTCAGATTCATGTGTGTATGTTCTGGTGCTATTCGTTAGTTACTAGGATTAAAGAAAAAAAAATCCTTGGTTTCTTTTTGAATAGTTCTTTACTTAATGGAGAATATAAATTGGTTATTTTAAAACTGATTTTTTTTTTCCTCCAAAGAGCCAAGTAATGCTTGTAAAGAATTTGGAAAGTACAGAAAAATTTAAAGAAACCAAAGAAAAATCACCTAGAATCTCACCACCTACCTAGAGGTGTTTGTTATACCAAGGGGTTTTAAATTACAGAATGAACGTTCTGTTTGCCCTCATTTTCTCTCTTTCTAAGTCCATAATTCATTCCCCACAGACAGCTTTCCTCTCACTTTTGCGCTTAATGAAAGTAGGGTGTGGATGAAAACCCAGCACTAGCACCTGGACAGCAAGAGAGAGGACCAAGACAAAATTCAGAAGCTCCCGGTGTCCAGAATTAGGTGCCTATCTTTTATGCTACTGGTAGTTTTTGCGCTTGCTTCCTCCCTCCCTCCCTCCCTCCCTCTCTTTCTCTCTCTCTTTTCCCAGCTTTACTGAGGTGTGATTGATATATACCAAATTACACATATTTAAAATATATAATTTGATGAATTTTGACATCTGTATGCACCCATGAAACTAGCATCAAGATCAAGCTAATGAACATGTTCATAACCCTCAAAAGTTCCCTGATGCCCCTTTGAAATCACCCTTTCCATCCTTTCCCCACCCTCATCCGCTCCTGCCAGGCAACTGCTGATCTGCTTTCTGTCACTATAGATGAATTAGTTTAGATTTTCTAGAATGTTGCTTATGTGGAATTGTACAGTGTATGTTCTTACATTATCTTGCTTCCTTCACTCAGCATAATTCCTTCAACATTATTCCATTTGTGCCATGTAGCATCACTTCATCGTATTGTTGAGTAGGATTCCATTTTATGGCTAGATCACAATTTGTTTCTCCATTCGTCTGTTGATGGGCATCTGGGTCATTTTTCACTTTGTGCCATTACAAATTAAGCTGCTATGAACATTTGCAAACAAGCCTTTGTTAGGATATGTTTTCATTTCTCTTAGGTAAATATCTAGGTGTAAAATGGCTTGGTCCTGGGGTGGGTGTGTACTTTAACATTTTAAGAGACTTCCGGCCAGGCGCGGTGGCTCAAGCCTGTAATCCCAGCACTTTGGGAGGCCGAGACGGGCAGATCACGAGGTCGGGAGATCGAGACCATCCTGGCTAACACGGTGAAACCCCGTCTCTACTAAAAAAATACAAAAAACTAGCCGGGCGAGGTGGCGGGCGCCTGTAGTCCCAGCTACTCGGGAGGCTAAGGCAGGAGAATGGCGTGAACCCGGGAGGCGGAGCTTGCAGTGAGCTGAGATCCGGCCACTGCACTCCAGCCTGGGAGACAGAGCGAGACTCCGTCTCAAAAAAAAAAAAAAAAAAAAAAAAAAAGAGACTTCCAAACTTTCCAAAAGGGATTGCAGTGTTTTATAGTCCCACCCCTGGTGAATGACGCTTCCATTTGCTCCACATCCTTCCCAATACTTGGGGTGGTCAGTGTTCTTCAGTTTTAGCCATCTCTATAGGTGTGTAGTGTGATAGTATTTTGTTGGGGTTTTAATTTGTACTTTCATAATGAATAATGCTGAACCTCTTTTCTTTTTTGTTTTGTTTTTGTTTTTGAACATCTTTTCATGTGGTTATTTGCCATCTGTATATTTCCTTTGCTAAAAATGCCTGTTGAAATCTTTTGCCCATTTGAAAACTGGTGGTTTTCTTATTGTTGAGCTTAGAGAGTTCTTTGTATATTCTCGATATAAGTCTTTTATTATATAGGCTGGGATTTGTCTTTTGATTCTTTTCAGCGTCTTTTATAGAGTGCATTTTTTGTTTTGGGAAATTTCATTTCATTTTTTTTTTTTTTTTAATTCATTGTGCTGTAGGTGTTTTAAGAAATCTTGGCTGAGTGCGTGGTTCATGCCTGTAATCCCAGCACTTGGGGAGGCTGAGGCAGGTAGATCACTTGAGCCCAGGTTTTCAAGACTAGCCTGGGCAACATAGGGAGAACTCATCTCTATATAAAAAAATCAAAAATTAGGCCAGGTGTGGTGGTTCATGCCTGTAATCCACTGTTTTGGTAGGCTGAGACTGGTGGCTCACTTGAGTTCAGTAGTTTGAGACCAATTTGGGCAACATGGTGAAACCCTGTCTCTATAAAAAATACAAAAATCAGCTGGGCTTAGCGGTGCGCGCCTGTAGTCCCAGCTGCTTGGGAGACTGAGGTGGGCGGATCACTTGAGCCCAGGAGGTTGAGGCTGCAGTGAGCCGTGATTGTGCCACTTTATTCCAGTCTGGGTGACAGTAAGACCATGTCTCACGGAAAAAAAAAAAGTCTTTGCCTACCTACAGGCCACAAGTATTTTTCCTGTATTTTCTTCTAGAAGTCTTACAGTTTTAGCTTTTTTTAGGGGGGTGAGTGATCCATTTTGAGTTGATTTTTGTTTGTGGTGTGAAGATGGAGCAAGTTTATTTTTTGGCACATGGATGTTCAGTTGTTCCAGCACCGTTTGTTGGAAGGATAATCCTTTTGCCACTAAATTGTCTTCGCACCTTTATCAAAAATCAGTTGGTTGAAGCACCAGAGACAGAAGAAAAAAAATCAGTAAACCGTATAAATACGATCTATTTCTGGATTCTATTATGTTGTACTGATCACTTGTTTATCTTGACACCATAGCACAATATCTTGATTACTATATATTTTAAAGTTTTGTGGCCAACTTCAGTGGCTCATGTCTGTAATTCCAGTGTTTTGAGAGGCCGAGGCAGGAGGACTGTTTGAACCCAGGAGTTTGAGACCAGCCTGGGCAACATGTCAAGACTGTCTCTACAAAAAAAAAAAATTAGCTGCATCTGGGAACTCATGCCTCTGGTCCTCGTTACTTGGGAGGCTGAGGCAGGAGGATTGCTTGAGCCTAGGAGTTTGAGGCTGCCGCAAGCTATGATTGCACCACTGTATTACAGCCTGAGTGACAGAGTGAGACGCTGTCTCAAAAAAAAAGTTTTGGAACCAGGTAAGTTCTCCAACTTTGTTCTTTCTCCGAGTTACTCTGTAGCCTGGGCAACATTGTGAGACCTCATCTTTACAAAAAATAAAAAAAATTCGCTGGGTGTGGTGGCAAGCGCCATAGTCCCGGCTACTTGGGAGACTGAGGTGAGAGGCTCGCTTCAGCTCGGGAGGTGGTGACTACAGTGAGCCATGATCGTGCAGCTGCACTGCAGCCTGCGCGACAGAGTGAGATTCTGTGTCAACCAAAATAAAAAAGTTGTTCTGGCTGTTCATGGTTGCTTGGCCATTTGTATTTTCAAATGAATTTTAGAATCACTTTGAGAATTTCTACAAATAATCTTCCCGGTATTTTGATTGGGACTGTACTGAATCTTTAAATCAATTTGATGTGAATTGACATCTAAACAATATTATTTTCCGACTCACAAGCAAGGTATACCTATTTATTTAGGCCTGGTTTTTTGTTTTTTTGTTTTTTTTGAGACAGTCTTGCTCTGTTGCCCAGGCTGGAGTGCAGTGGTGCACAGTCACGACTCACTGCAGCCTTCAGCTCCTTGGCTCAAGGGATCCCCCTGCCTCAGCCTTGTGAATAGCCAGGACTACAGGCATGTGCTACAACACTTAGCTACTTCTTTATTTTTTTGTAGAGACAGTCTTACCATGTTGCCCAGGCTGGTCTTGAACTCCTGCGCTCAAGCAGTTCTCTTGCCTCAGCCTTTTTTTGTTTTTCCTTTTCTTTTGAGATGGAGTCTCGCTCTGTTGCCCAGGCTGGAGTGCAGTGATGCGATCTTGGCTCACTGCAGGCTCTACCTCCCGAGTTCACACTATTCTCCTGCCTCAGCCTCCCGAGTAGCTGGGACTACAGGCGCCCACCACCACACCTGGCTAATTTTTTGTATTTTTAGTAGAGACGGGGTTTCACCGTGTTAGCCAGGATGGTCTTGATCTGCTGACCTC